CCTTCCTTCCTTCCTTCCTTCCTTCCTTCCTTCCTTCCTTCCTTCCTTCCTTCCTTCCTCCCTTCCCTCCCTCTCCCTACAACATCATCTGCATCCCTAAGACACATATGTGTGTCTCAGTTTCTGCCTCATCTCCTACCTCCACTTTGAAGTCTAGAATTGCATGCTGGATAGTATGGTACTGGGGACGAGACCCAGGTCTCTCTCTCTCTTTTTTTTACTCCTTGACAAGCACTCCACTAGTCTGGGAGTTACAATCCCAGACTCTGGATTTGAGTCTAAACTAGCCTTGTGATTTAAAATCGTGGCTAAGTATTTTAATGAAGCTCATAATTAATATTCATGAGAAGACGCAGACCCCTTAGGAGAAGCAGAATCCCTAGCGGCAAGGAGCTCTCCAGACACTACTGTACCACACTGCCAGGCCCTGCTTAGTGGGGGTGGGGAGGCGGGGCACGGTGTGTGTGTGAGGGGGTGGGAGTGGCAGAGGACCAGTCACTTGCTAGCTCTTCTGCTGCTCTACTCGCCACCTAGTGGACACTCGGTGGAGGAGGCCTGCACGCCCGCAAACCAAAGGGGTTCCCAGCAAAGCTAGGTAGGACCAGGAAAGGCGGCTTTGTGTGTGGTTTGGGGCAGGGAGCTGCGGGGTGGGCAGGGCTGCACAGCCCACATTCTCTGCTTTGGAAGAGGTTATGGTGTGATCATGATCTCTGAATCTTTTTCATTAATCGTAAGCCCATTTATACCACCCTGCTTGGTACCCACAGCTATCACCCCAGCTGTCAGACCCACAACAGTAGAGGGGAGAGTGTCAGCAGGTGGTGATGACCTCCCATTAGCCTTTACACCAATACACTCCTTTAATCTTCCCAGGAGCACTGAGGCTGGTACCTGTTCCACACCTACTCTGAGGATGGAGACAGAGGCCCAGAGAAGTGAAACGCTTTCCTCAAGGTCACACAGGTTGCAGGAACAGTGCTGGAACCCAACACTGTGCTTCCCAGATTTTCTTATTCTGGGTCACTCTGGGCAGAGAGGGGAGAGATCTGAAAATCCAGAAAGTAAGCGAAGATTACGGCCCAGAGCCTCATTGAGCCAGGTTTTGAGAGACCTTGGTCTAGGTGGAGGAAGATCTCAGTTCTGCCACACGGGAGGATCCTGGGCAAGCTCTGTGTACCTTCAAAGCCTTTCTTTTCCCATCTATATTGGAGGAGAAGGAACATAAATACACAGGACGGTGTCTGAGAGTGAAAGGAAGAGGATTCACCAAGCAACTAAGGTGTGATAGGAATCTCTGTCCCGGGTAAGGCTGGTCCAGGCTGAGCCCAGATGTTGCTGAGACCTGTGTCATGATGGAACAGGAGGCAGTAGCCAGATGTAGGGAGCATAAGTGACCAGAGTGACAAATGGGTTAACTGAGCCTCGAGTACTAGCCCCAGAACTTGGACCTATTCTGGAGGTTTGGAAAGCTAGAAGCAAGAGGTGGGGGGGGGGTCATTCATCTGTGCTGGGGATGGATAGAACCCAGGGCTTCCAGCATCCCCAGACCAGGGGCTTTCCCCCTCTGATCCAGAGGTCTTCCCTGCATACAGGAGGGGATCCTTTTCCTCTTTTTTCCATCTGGCTGCAGTAGAGGGAAATAGACAATTCTCCTTTCATCTGTGCCCCAGCTGCTTAAAGATGTTGGCTCGGAGGAAAAGCACACATGCATTTGGATGCAGGAAGAGGGGGCTGGGGTGGTCTAGGAGATGAACTTGCACACCTGCCTGGAGTGGGACTCCCTGTGCCCTCGATGTGCAAAGTGAAGGTTAGGGAGGTCAGTCTACTAAAACACATATGGTTTTAAAATGCCACAATAACATCTATACTTTGTATGACATTTTACAAAAGAAACCAAGTTTAGAGAAGAAAATGAGTAACAACCAAAGAATTAGGAGGAAGGGGGCAATGCAAAGGAATATGATGATGATGATGATGATGATGATGAATCTGCCTTTAAGAAATCCGGGTTTAACACCACCATTCATATCCTGTCTCCCCAAAGGCCCTCCTTTAATTATTATTTTTGTTCTCAGTTCCCACTTAGTTCCTCTTTCTATTTTTAAAGTTGTCCATCATCAGTTACTAAACGTGTTCGAATTTCACGTTCAAGGGCAAACTAGACATATAAGACGAAATCAGCCGCATCTTCCCCTCTGAGCAAAATCAAGGTGTGCCTCGCTCATGTCTCCTTATTCCTTTACCTGGAAGTTGGTTATTTTCTGCAGTCTGCGAATCCCTCACACCCGGTAAAACAACTAAGTTCCGAACAAGAAAGTGGAAAAACAAGACTGCGGTATACAGTTCTGTTTGCAAGTGGGTTTTCTACGGGAGACAAGCAACAGCCATTGACCGATGGAGGAGACTGTCTACAGCGAACAGATTCTGCACCGGGGGCTTTGGACGTCCCAGAGTTCCTGCTGCCAGCCAGGAAGGCTCATCTTGTAAGAGCACTTGTTGCTAAGCCTGAGGACCCGAGTTTGATCCCTGGACCAACCCACATTGTGGACAGAGAGAACCTAATCCCACGAGTTTTCCTCTGACCTCCACACAATAAAATGATTTCTTTTAAAGAGTCCTTCCAAAAGTTAGTGGGGGTTCTCGGGAGAGGCTTATTTCAAAATTTGAAGCCCTAGATTTATGAAAGATCACCCAGGAGCAAGACTGATTTAATTCTGGTCACTCCTGAAGCTTCTACATGATCCTTCCCGCAGAGCTAGAAGCTAAGGCTGTCGTGGACTTGAGTTTGATCTGGACCCATATAGACAGAGGATGGATTTGGTGACCCCACCAGGACCTTGCAGGCACCACGATTCTGACCACCATCGTGGCCATGTGTGTGGGGTGCTGTGTGCACCCACTGACTGCGCGCGCGTGGGTGCCAGTGCGTGGTGGTCTGTGGGAGGTGCGTGTGGGCAAGGGTGGGTGTGTCTGTGGAGCCCCGGTGGGGGGCTGCGGCCCACTGTTCCCACTTGTGGCTCCTGGGCGCCGCCAGCAGGCATATCTCCGGAGGACGCCGCGGGATGGGAGCTGATGACAGGAGGGCGCCGTCTCCCGAGTGATGGCAGCGCACGCCGCTGCCTCGCCGCCTCCGCCGCTCCGTCCTGATCTCCTTACGTCAGGGTAGCTGGGTCCCCCCTCCACCCGGGAGCCAGCGAGCAGCGGGAGAGCAGAGCAGAGCGTGCGGCAGAGCCGTTCCAGAGTCCCGCCGAACCCTGCCAAGCCCCGCCAATCCCAGCAGAGCAGGAGCCAGCGCGGCTGAGGAGCCAACACCGGACGCCTCACCGGACCCAGCATTCCCCAGCCGCGCCACCTGGTACCCGCTGGGGCGCCGGGCTCGTCTTGTGCGCCCCTCGCCATGCGTGTCGGGCTCTTGGACTCTCCAGATCAGTTCCAGCGCCGTGGCCACGGGATCTCAGGTCCAGATACCTCCCGTTGAAACAGTTTTGGGTGGCCAGGACAGGGGTCTCCACGTCGGGGACGCGGCGGGGACCTGCGGAGTTGGCGTCCGAGCGCGCAGAGCGGGGCCACCCGCGCCGCTCCACCATTACCTCCCCGGGTGGCAAGGAGGAGCTGGTGGCGGTCGCCTCCCGGCTGTGGCAGCGGCGGCGGCGCGCCTGCTTGGCGGCCGTCGGCGTGCTCCTGGCCATGGCATTGGGGCTGCTGATCGCGGTGCCCCTGCTGCTGCAGGCGGCTCCCCCAGGCGCGGCTCACTACGAGATGCTGGGCACCTGCCGCATGATCTGTGACCCGTACAGCGTCGCTCCCGCCGGGGGACCCGCGGGCGCCAAGGCTCCACCGCCGGGACCCAGCACCGCTGCCCTGGAAGTTATGCAGGACCTCAGCGCCAATCCCCCGCCTCCCTTTATCCAGGGACCAAAGGGTGATCCAGGACGACCAGGCAAGCCGGGGCCTCGGGGTCCCCCTGGAGAGCCAGGGCCGCCTGGGCCCAGGGGTCCCCCGGGGGAGAAGGGAGATTCGGGGAGGCCGGGGCTACCCGGACTGCAGTTGACAACCAGCGCGGCCGGCGGCGTTGGAGTGGTGGGTGGCGGAGCCGGGGGCGGTGGCGACACGGAGGGCGAAGTGACCAGTGCGCTGAGCGCCGCCTTCAGCGGTCCCAAGATCGCCTTCTACGTGGGACTCAAGAGCCCCCATGAAGGCTACGAGGTGCTCAAGTTCGACGACGTGGTCACCAATCTTGGCAATCACTACGACCCCACCACGGGCAAGTTCAGCTGCCAGGTGCGGGGCATCTACTTCTTCACTTACCACATCCTCATGCGAGGCGGTGATGGGACCAGCATGTGGGCGGATCTCTGCAAAAACGGGCAGGTCAGTGACTTTCTCCCACATACCCCTCCCTACCTTACCGGGCCCAACAGACTCCGCAGACCGTGCCCGGAATCGCCCGGAACTATCCTTTTTCCTGTCACCCTCCAGCGCCCCAGCAAACTCTGGGATGGAGTGGGCGCTGGACCACAGCATCCCGCTTCCCTGCGCACTCCACTGTGCTTGCCCAAATGCTGCGCGTCAGAATCTGGACCCCCGGTACACAGTGACCCTGACACCTAAACTAGGTTCTCGGTCCCCAAATAGCTTGAGTCCTGGCCTGAAGTGACCGGGCTCCTAGAAAAACGCAGTTTTCTTTTCTTCTGTGGTTGCAAGTGGGTCACCCGTTTCCCTCTAGCTTCCTGGGACCTCCTTTACACACTGGGCCAGTGTCCCGGAAGCCCTCTCCCCTTTCCTGGACTCTGCTGCCGAGAGACCTTGGAGCTGGGGAGGGAGTGTTGACCCTGAAGTAGCAGGCAGAGAGCCTGCGAGGGGATGGGCGAGGGAGGCCAAGCGTTTACTCAGAAGAGGTGCAAGGGTCCACCCACTCCTGTGGTTCGCCCCGCAGGTGCGCGCCAGCGCCATAGCCCAGGACGCGGACCAGAATTACGACTACGCCAGCAACAGCGTCGTACTGCACCTGGATTCCGGCGATGAAGTCTACGTGAAGTTGGACGGCGGGAAAGCTCATGGGGGCAATAACAACAAGTATAGCACGTTCTCGGGCTTTCTCCTGTACCCAGATTAGGGGCGCAGAGAGCGCGAGACCGGGTGGTTCCAAGCCGCCCCATCCCCACAGGGTTCGGGCGGCTCTTTGGTGAATGTCACTCTGCGGCTTCATGACACTTCCTGACATCTCCGTTGGAAAAGGCACATCCCTGCTGTCCTCCTTGTCCTGCCTCAGGCCTCAGTGTGTCTGACTTACCGCGCTGTGGGGAGGCTGTGTCCCTGGTCCCAGAGCCCATCCTGGGGAGGGAGTGGGAACACTGAAGTGGGGAGTTGGGTGAGAACCCCAGCTCCGGCTGGGGGAGGGGTTGGTTGTGGGGCAGCCCAGACTTGGGAAAGCTGACTGGACTGGACAAGCAGCCCTAAGGAGCCCGAGGTTTCCCAGCTCACCTCTCCCTTCCAGTGTCCCCAGGTCAAGGGCTGCAGGCCTCACCAGGAAGATAAGACCCAGGTGAATGCTGCTCCCTGGGACCTCCCTTTTTGTGACCCGAAATGCCTGTGCAGATTTTCCTGTTCATCAGCCAGAAACGCACCCTTAGCTGAATTCCAACGAACACAAAATTCACCTTGCCACATGTACTCTCCACCCTCTCCCCTGACCTCCTGTGCCATGCATTAAATTATGTTTTTAGACCACCGGCTCCTGTTCTTTTTGTCAATACAGCTCCTTTACCTGGACTCCAGAAATCGCACTGGCCTTACAACCTGGCCAGTGTCCTCTCTCCAGCCAGTGTACTGCCCCTGCAAACCGGAGGTTGGCTGAAAGGTGTGTGTTTTGGGGTGGGGTGGGGGGAGGGGATCAGAGCAGCAACCCTGCCTTTGCACTGCGGCCCAGAATTGGGGGTGGGGGTGGGGGCTGAAAGGATGAGAGGTGAGTTAGAGGAAGGCAGGAGAGAGGTGATGGTATACCGTTTGTGCAACTCCATCTCCCTGGACCCGGGGGAGGAGGTCTCAAGGGAGGGTCCCTGCGAAGTGGAAGATAACCATGAGACAATTGCCAGCGGGGACCCTGTGAGTTTGGGGCCTCTAAAAGAGAAGAGCAGAAAGAAGCTCCCCTGGGCTGAAAGGTCTCCTTCCCCAAGAGACCAACAGCACACTTGGGGCATATCTGTTCACACCTTAGCTAGGTCCTTGCTCTCTGAGGGGGTCAGTAAACGGAGGTAGTTCTGTGGATCACTCAGCTCTCTAACTTCAGCTGGAATATTGTGGAGAGGGAGATGACACTCCCCTCCAGGAGGGTTAGATGCTTTTGGGGATCACTCCTTCCCTGAAAGAAGTGACAGCAGCTGGAGACCTGTTAATTCTGTCTCTCTTCCTGTCAGTATCCTGTGTACCCAACTCAGGAAAACATTCCACACAGTTTGGGCATTTGGTTTTTTTTTTTTTAAATTCTTTCCTGCTTGTTTTATTTTTTGTTTTTATTGTCACCCAATTCCAAGTTATGTCTAAAACAGCTAGTAGCTGCCTGCTATCACTTACTGAGCTCTTTTAATTTTTCAGCTTTAAATCAAGTGAAAAAAAATTGAGAGAGATTCTCACTGTGTACCTCAGGCTGGTCTGGAATTGGCTGTTCTCCTGTCTCAGCTTCCTGAGTGCTGGGATGATAGGTATGTGCCATCACATTGCCTGGCTGTATTGAGCCCATTTTGATTGGAAGGAAATATGTTTATGGGGCTATGAGATGGCTCAGAGGGTTAAGGTCCTTGCCACTGAGCCAAAGGACCTGAGTTCAGTGCTCACAGCCCACATGGTGGAAGGAGAGGGCCCACCCTCACAGGTTGTCCTCTGACCTCCACATCTTGACTGTGGCACGCACTCATGCACACCACCCCCATCAAATGTTTAAAGAAGTGTGTATGCGAGTGTGTGTGTGTACGTGCGTGCACGCATGCACGAGTGTTCATATCTGCACAGAGGTCATCCTGGAGTGTGTGTATCTAGGTAAAGCTGGACACTTGAAAATCGATTGTGTAGGTGTAATTGTCGTACTCACTGGATTCATGTTGCACACTCGCATACATTCATGCCAATGTAGTGTGTGAACCATTCTTGGATGTCGTCTACCCTCAAACTGCACTGTTCGGGAGGGTGAAGAAAGCTGCCATTCCCTTCCACATGACAATTATACCCCCTGCCTCGATTCCTGTGCTCACCACCATTCCTCTGTGCTCTCATTTTATTTGAATAATGTTTTCTTGTCAATTGTTTGAATATAAGCAATGATTATGCCTGCATTGAGTCCAAGAATACAGTGCACAAAGAGAGCTCGAGAGAAAGAAATATTATCAAGCTACCATTTCCCAGTGCCATACACAAACAGACCCCTAATTTCCTACCACATGCCATGCTTCCCCCTCTGATGGTGGATCCCAAACCTGGCAGAGCCCACCGGCATCCAGGAACAGTCTATGGTTACATGACGGGTATCACTTTCAGATGCCTTGTTGATTGTATCGTCCTGAAATGCGATTAAGACCCAATGTCTGCAACCCAAATGAAGTCTAATTGCTATGGATCTGCAATCCCCATCGGGCCCCTAATCCTTTTTGACTTATTCCTCCCCTTCCTCTGATGAGATGGAGCTTAGACACAAAGCCCTCGGTTTAAATTTCAAAAATTAAAATTGACATGCAGCGTTGGCTTTCCTGGGAGCTGGGAGGAATTGCTAAGGAGGTACTCTAACCCAGCTTTAGTCTTTGCATTAAGAAGCAATTTGTACTTCTAACAGAACCTCCGCCCCTTCCCCTTTGTCAGGAGGGCAGGAGATGCCTTGCCTGGGTCTGACTGTTCACAGTACTTAGACAAATTTAAAGCTGACATTCCTCCAGCTAGATTCCCCTTCGTAACTGGGCTTCTTGGAATTCTGATACTGGGGCTGCCGGGAGGCTCTGCCAGAGGTGTCAGCTGCTAAGAGGATGATGGATGGATGAGGGGCTTTGAGAGGTTCAGTTAGCAGAAGCCGGCCAGCATTCTCTGTGTCTGCCACTCCCAGGTCCCGGGCTGGCTCCTGGTGGCCAACTAAGGGCCATGCTTGTGGGAACTCTCTGAGAAGTAGGACAGGCTTGGATGGGAGACCAGGTCTCCACTCTGGCCACCTTCATGAAGCCATCAGATTTGGGGTGTTTATGGGATACAAGAAGCCCTTCACCTCAACACTCATCCGTGCAATTAATTAATCACCGCCCCAACTTCTTTCCTAGTTGTGTCCCCAGGTTAGGAGTATCACCCAGTCATGGCCAATAAACGCACAAGGCACTACTTTTGTCTGCTTAAAAGCTGGAGAAATTTGGCTTGGAGAAATTCATGACCTGTCCCTAGTCCCTAGACTTTTAAGAGTTGCATCTGGGCGCTGAGGAGATAGCTCACTTGGTAAATTGCTTGCTGTGCCAGCAAGAGGATCTGAGTTCAATCCCCAGAACCTGTGTAAACTAATTCCAGGCATAGTGCAACACTCCTGCAATCCCAGTGCCGGAGAGAGGATTCCTGGGACTCACTGGCCCATGTGATGAGCTCCAGGCCGGTGAGAGACCTTAGCTAATAAAAAGCCTGAGAAATGACATCTGAGGCTCATCTCTGACCTACACACACACAGGTACAACGTGCATGTGCACCCATGTACCCACATATCCAAGTGTGAGAATATATGGGCACACCCACTTGCACACGTAAAGAAGTATAACTGGGATTAGAACTTAGACCTCCAGGCTACGGCCCTTTGTGTAGAGAGGGGGAAATGTCTACCTCCCATGTATGCCTTCTTGTCCAGGCTTCCTCCTCCAGGGACCTCCGGATCCAGACTCCTCCAAGCATCGGGCCTTGGGGCCTTGCTCACGGCCTAGCAGGGGTTCGGACCACTAGTTCCAGATGCTCTGTTTGGAACAGTACGCCTCCACCAGCCACCAATCACAACAGCTGTCCTTCTCTTCCTTGGTGGTAGTGAGGAGGGAGTGTCCTGCGGGTGCCAGAGCTTAGCTGAAGTGGGTGCTGGCTGTCTGTGCTTGGCAGGAGGCTCTTCTCTGTGCAGAGCATCCTTGTCAGTGGGAGTGCTCATCTTCAGGACTGCCTGAGTTCAGGGGAGATGCACCTGGCCCGGAAGACTCGGGGGGAGGCTGTGCCTTCTGCTCCAATCTCTCTCTTATCTTTGAGCAGATAACTCTTTTCAGACTCCAAGACAAAAACCCAGCTCCCCCAACCCTTGACCTGCATGCATTGACGGTAACACCACAGAGGTCACATTGCAGGGACTGGTCCCTTTAAATGCCCCTGATCATGCATTCCTATTGGTTAAAGACTTTTTTGTTTTTGGAGCTCTCATATCAACATATATATTTGATGTATGAATAATTTATGTATACCATTCTCAGTCTATACTTTAAAATGTTTCCAGCTTTTGTATTTGTCTTCAACTGAGGGACTCACATTCATGTCAGTATCCATAGCCTAGCTGGCTAACCAGGTTTGGAAGCAGGTCTCCTTTTCGTTGGAACAAAAATAAAAGAGGGTTAGTTTGTTATTTTCCTCAGAGTTAGGCATGAAAGTGTGTTCTCTATGAGTCACAGATAAGCCTGTGCCCTTTAATTCTTGGCAGGCAGAGCTCTGGTCCTGATCTAGGTATTAATATTAGTAATTCATAATTTGTTTGTCTCTCTTTTCATTCAACGAACAATTAATTTCATTAATTTATTTAACATACAAAGTAACGTGTCTCGTTATGACATTTCATAGACACATGTCGTTGTATTTTGCTCAGGGTTTTTTTTTTAATAGCCCAAATTTGAGATCCCCCTGCCTCAGCAGCCTACCTGGTGGAATAATAATAATAGGCGTGTGCCACCACAGTCAGTGTTTCTTCCTCCCTGACACACAGACTAGCCTTGAATTCTTGAAGCCACTGAGGATGACCTTGAACTTCTGATCCTTCTGCCTACATCTCCTGAGTGCTTGGGTTACAGGTATGTGCTGCCATGCCCTGTGTATTCTCTCTGTCTCTCTCTTAATATTTGAAATACATAAAGCAACAGTTTCTGCCAGGTGCATACCTGTAGTCCTGGCACTTTAAGGGAGGGGGCAGGAGGATCATGAATTAGAAGTCAACTGGGTTGAACACTGTCTTAGTTTATGTTCCTGTTGCTGTGATAAAATATTCTGACAAACACTGCTCAAGGGAGAAAGGTTCAGTTTGGCTCATAGTTTAGGGAACAATGAAAGCAAGGAAGTTAAGGCAGCAGGAGATTGAAGTAACTGGTCACGTTACAGCTATAGTCAATGTGGTGGTGTGCAAGAAATTGGTCCCCAAAGCGGGGGGTGGGACTGTTAGGAGGTGTGGAAGTGTGTCAATGTGGGGGCGGGCTTTGAGGTTTATTCTGCTCAAGCTTCCCTCAGTGTGACAGTTAATAGACTTCCTGTTGCCTGCAAGATGCAGCACTCTCAGCTCCCGCACCACGTCTGCATGCATGCTGCCATGCTCCCCGTCATGATGCTAACGGGCTGAACCTCTGAAACTGTAAGCCGCTAGCTACCTCAATGAAATGTTTGCTTTATACGAGTTGCCGTGGCCATCGTGTCTCTTCACAGCAAAAGGGAATCCTAACTAAGACAGTCAAGAAGCAGAGAGCAATGGATGCATGCATACC